GTTACCTGTTACAGTGAGGGTACTTATTATAGTTTTTTACTTAGATTTGTAATTATTTTTTAATTTTTAGTGCTCTTTGTCGGTGTTGTTTGAAGTCGGTTTAACTTTTTTTTTAAAAGGGTTTATTTTACCATTTTTAGTGTAGGATATGTTTGTAATGAGTAGATAAGTACGATATTTAAAACACTACGTACCGTAATGTTAAGTAACAAACTGTAGTTACCTAACTGGAATTGGGGGTGATGATGTAAGGTGTGATACTCAAATTTTAAATGAAGTACAACTAGGTGAAATAACTTAGACCTTACTCTTTCATGTAGTACCGGATTCTTGCCTATCAGAACCTGTCATCATAGGTAGGGATATCTTAGAAAATTACATTTTCGTCCAAACTGATCAAGATCAGCTTAAATTCTTTTCTAAGAAACAGTCAAATTCTTGTGAGTTGCAACCGAACAAAATAACTTCCGATTCAATTGACACTGATCTCGAAGGTGAAGATAGGGAAGCTTTAGTGAGACTTCTCAACAAATATGCTCAATATTTTATAGAAGGAATTCCAACTAGAAGGGTTAATGTTATGTTAGAAATTAACCTAGTTGACCCACACAAAATTTAAGAGTTTTTTCCAGAACTATTTTAATAAATTAAGTATAAAATTACTTACAAACGAAATGCGATGCCATCCATAGCAACAAAACGTCTATCCGAATTTTTTTAACAAGATAGAATACAACATTTCAACCTTTTCTTCTTAATACAACGAAAAAAAATTACTGTGGTGACATAAATACTGCAAGTTCTCTGCGCATCACATCGCGCAGTCTCTGACGGTTCCCATGGTTTGTTTGGCTAAAGAAATACTCGTAGCTAAAACACGTTGTTGGGGCTGTCAAATTCCCAATAATTGTGAGGATTTCCCTCGATTTCTCTAGGATCCCACTATCGGATCCTGCATTGGTGATAATGGGACCAAAGAATTTTGAAAATCGGTCCACAATTGACGGAGAAATCGCGTAACAAACATACATAAAAAAAAAATCCTCCTCTTTTGTGTTTTGGAAGTCGGTTAAAAAGAAAACATACTGTCGAATCAAAAACCCTCCTTTTTTGATGTTGGTTAAAAATTGACTAGCATGAAGCTCCTAGTCGAGACGAATCAAATGAGCACAAACACGGAGGAATTGCTTTATTTTATTACAGAGTTCCCATGGCTATTTACCGTCTCCATCATCAGACCCTGAATATCACATAGGATCGGAGTCCTTATTAATTAGACTCAAACACATTCAAATTCGATGGTATTACATAATTTTGTTACAGAGATCCCATACTCCTAAACCATTCATCATCAGCTTCATCATCAGCTCAGCAACATCAGATGGTGACCATTAGATGCAAAAATCTACATAGATTAAGATAATTTCTGATAAACAGTGTATATGCCTACAAAATTTGAGGGTTTCCCTCGATTTCCCCAGGATCCCATCATCAGATCCTGACCTGGTGACAATGGGACCACCTCTGACGTATGACCTACCAAATAAAAAAAGAATTATTCAAATCGGTTTATAATTGCCGGAGTAATCGCGTAACAAATATACAAAAAAAAAAAAAAAAAAAAAAAATACAGTCGAATTGAGAACCTCCTCCTTTTTTTGAAGTCGGTTAAAAAGAAAAAAACGGCACCCTTTTAGGATCACTTTGTTGTCCGTCCGTTCGTAAGTCCGTCTAGACTGAAGGGTCTGTCAAGACCTTTTATCTTGGGAACGCGGGCACGCGGAGGTATCGAGTTGAAATTAAAACCATATACTCTGGATTACAGTCCCTTGAATCTGTGGAAAAATTAAACTTCTGACTTAACGTAAAAAAAGATAAGGCCGTTTATGCCGCAAAAAACGCTTATTTCGACACTGTCAAAGGAATCAAAATTCATAGGGTACTTCCCGTTGACCTAGAACTATGAAATTTGGAAACTGAATTTCGGGAAAGGTCGGAAAAACAGGGAGACTCGATTCTTGAACTATTTATAATAAGTACCATAAGGGTCCGTACATATTTGTACGGAACCCTCGGTGGGCGAATGCGACTTGCACTTGTCCGGATTTTTCCAAAGCTAACTACCACAATTCCTAAAAAATATTTGGTACTTGAAAATGTTTCATATATAATACTTGAACTTTGAAATTTGTAATGACTTAACTATTCTCAAAAAGGTAGACTATTATTGGGTACGCCGAACCAATAACCGTTCAAACTCAAACTCAAACTTTCTATATTTCATACAATTTCCAAAATTGTTTGAAATCGTCTTCCATGTAGACTCTTAAGACATAGATCAACACACACAAAAGCAACAATCTCTGTTTTGTCAAATAGTAACCAAATAAATTTAACAAAAATCAAACCGTTGGGGAGAACGAGTTCTTGTGTGGAGACCGCGTCTAGGCAAACTTAGTGTAGGACGCTCACAGTCCAGGAGGAGTGACAATTTGCGCAAGAAGGCTGGCAGGAGCTGGATGCGAGAAGCCCAACATCTAAGTGGCGTGCAATGGAGAGGCCTATGTCCAGCAGTAAACTGCGATAGGCTTATAATGACGATGAACACTCGATAATTGGACTTAATTGGACTTCCCATCGCGCAATGATTACTGGACAAAATTATTGCGGTCTACACAGGAATCACTGTTACAGCGAGAGATGGCTTTAAAAAATCATCGATTTTATTTTTTGCTTCTTGAATAATTATTACGCTGTTAATCTATACAACTAAATAAAAATTAAGTCTGTTTATAATGTCAAAATAATAGATTTTTCGTGCTAATAGGGTTATTTACACTATACCTATGCCTAAAAACCAGTTTAATTTTTCTTTGTCTGTCTGTCTCTCTGTTCCGGGTAATCCCCTAAACGGCTGGACCGATTTTGTTAGTATTTTACTACCAGGCAGCTGTCTATAAAAGGAGAAACTTAGGATATTTTTGCTCTCAGAAAAACCCTTTAAAATTTTGCCCGGTCTGGGAATCGAACCCACTAAGGCAACGCTTTTCAAATTCCAAACGAACGAAGTCACGGTTACTAGCCAGTCCAAGATAAATGTGTGCTGATCGGTGTATAAAATCTATCAGTATACCCAAAATTGTCATCTAAAGCGCCAAGAACGAGCTCCGCAATCTCGTGTTCCATGATCAACAAACCACCCGAATCACCGGGGGTATAGATGTAAGGCCGGTTTAAAACCAATTAAAACAATCGTTTACTAAAAAAAAACTAAATAAACCATATTTTTTTCGATTTAAAACGGTTGGTGTTGATGGTTATGTTTTTCTTAATTATAACTACATTTTCTTGATTTTGTCGAGGTAGGGATATGACGGAGTACCTATAAAATGTGTAAAGATTTTTTATATGTGTGATATCAGTATATCACACATTACCTACTTAAGTTATAAAAACTCTATTGATAAGCTAAAAAGTCTGTGTTGGTAAATAAATTTTTCTGTCATTGTTTTCAAACGATATACTTAATCAATTTGATTCGGTTTAAAACCAAACTCTTCCACTCTTGTTAACACGGCACCGGCGCGACAGCCTCGAAAACATAACGTTGTCTCTTTCATGCGCAAGTAAAACGGAGGGCATTGTGTTAATGATCTCTTCTAATCTAGTGCGTATAATAAATAACTATAGGTAGGTATACCTACATACTTATTTTTTCGTGTAGTAGGTAATGTATGTATGTACTTTCTATTGATTTTTCTGCAAACTACTTTAAACGAAACATGACGGCAGGTGACCAAAAATTGCACACACTGAAATATAAAACACAGTTCTCTTATTTTCGTAGGCGAGTATTCAATCGTTGACACGATTTATTTGGGGTTTAAAACCGCAACATTTTATTCAAAACGTTTTAAGTCGGTTGTTTTACATCTATAGCCGGAGGTTGTTTATTGACATGTGTGTGTTTTTTTGTGAAAACATTAAGAACTTTCTTATCATTTTTTAATATGACCTTACCTTTGACATTGTTTTTCAAATATACTCGTATTATGAAGGATTAAAATTTGACGCTAATCTCCTTATGTTGAAAAATTATTCTGATCATTTTAACTTACGTCGAAGGCTAGTTTACCTTTAATATAAACTTTCAAGATATATAATTTATATTAAATACAGACTTGTCTTCGACGTTCTTTTCTTAATTCATATTTTATTTTAAATTAGTTCAAAATATATATTTATTCGTAGAACACATCTTGGACAAAATAAACGAAAATAAAAAACATTTATCTACTCAAACGTAAACATAACATGTGTGTGTTTAATACGCTTTGTCGACTATTGACAATACTCCTATTTCTTAAATATAGGCAGCAGTTGGCTGTTGCGTAATATTGCCGCCATGCTGCACCCTTCTAACTTTTAATCAGTAATAATTTAATAAATTTTAGTTGATTTTATGGCAAATGGACACATCGTACAACACTAACGGTCTGCATCTTTCTTAGTTCTTTAGTCACTTCACATCCATCACTAGTACTACTTTGCGCGTATGAGGCAATGCCGTGTGTCGTCAATTTCGCTAAAAAATATTTGTTATTGTTTAAATTAATAGTAATTTTGTCAATGAAAAGGTTTTGCAAATGTTAAATTATGGTACAAAATATTATTGAAATGAAAGAAAACTCGTGAAAGTGTTAATAAATTGTTATATATCAATTGTTGTGATGCCAGTCACCTATATTGATTTATCGTATGCCAGTGACCTGTTTTCAGTATTTGTAATGTGTAACCCATAAATAATTAATAGTAGTTATTACAAGCAACCTTATACTTTATTAGAAATTAATTGTTGCTTAAAAATTCGGCAGTAAAGGCAATATGCAGCCGAGGCTGGAGACCATGCGAAGTATAATATATATTTGCGAGTTTTGTGTATAATTTAATTTAGAAACGTTAAAGAAAGATTAATATCGTAATGGTGTGTATGTTTCACAATGATGACGCCTATTGAGGAGAAGAAAGATGAAAAAGTGAGTATTAAAATATATGGTACATTTTATGTTTATATTTCTCAGGTGTTCACATAACCTGTTCTTAACGTTTTAATTTTATTTTTTACTTCCTGTATGTCTATTTTTCTTCTAAAAAATTAGAATCTTCCTAGTTCAATAACATAAAATATCAAGACAATCAGAAATAATTTGTGTACTCTTGCATATTGTAGGGTTGTGAGTAAAACAATTCAGTCATGGAATCTTCATACCACAGAACATTTTTATTTATTTGTAATTGAAAGGCACATTATTTTTATTTATTTTCTAGTTAACAGAACAGATTCAATTATTACACAACATTGAGTTTTAAGGATTGTGTAATTTTGCCTAATATAACCCATATTAAAAAAAAAGGCTCTTATACTGAGTTTTTTGAGTTGCTTCTTTTCAACTGGCCATTTACATTAAAGTGCCAATAAGAAAAAAAATTGAAATATGAATTTTATATAAATTTTGAATCATTCAGTATTTATACATACATAAAACTTCAGTGATTTACGTTGAACAGTTTTTTTTTTAAATACTACTCCTACATTAGGAATATATCCTGTGTTGTGGTGTACTTTACAAACATACATGAACAAACACAAAGAACAATCAGACTTGAACAACAATTTGACAACAATTAAATTTATTAATGTAATTTTGACAAGTATTTAGCATATTACATTTAGAATATAAAGTTTTCCAAAGATGTAGATGAACAAGATGTAGTTACAACTTCTACAGTTTAAAAGCCGAACCGATTGAAATGTTACCGAACTTATTGAAATGTTTATACATACAAAGATTGTATGTAAGATTGCTTAAATAGCAACTTCTTTCAATCGCTATTTCATATATCCCCACCATCAACAGCCTTTTACCTCTCATAAGCTATGAAAAGCGTGAAATTTCGTTACACGGTAAAATGTTTTCACCGGTGATCGCTGATCAATGTAGAGGCTTGCCTGTGATCGGTGATCAGTGCAGAGGGATGTGTGAGAGGTTAATAGTTCACTGCTGGACATAGGCCTTATTAGAAAGGAGGTTTTGGCCAACTATGCCACACTGGTTGGTTGGTTTTGCCTTCTCTTTGCAGTGCTGTGGTCCTGCATAGTTTGCTCCCTTAGCCCGCTTTTAAGACACCCATAAGATGAATAGGGGAGGTGATATTACATATTCTTGATCCATCAGCACAAGGATTCTATACATTTATTTATCTCAGCTTTTATGTCAAAAATATATAAAAAAAAAGAAAAAAAAAAAGCCTTTTATTTCTTACTAAAAATACAGTTACAATTAATCTTAAAACTATTAAATAAACTGCTACTACTATTATTTTATCTAATTTTATACAGTAAAATGTGCGCTAACTAAGTAGTAAGAACCCCTCTTAATCGAAGGTGAAGGCCTCCTCTAGAGATTTCTGTGTTGCTGTGTCCATCCAACGATCGCCGGCCACTTGTGTTATGTCATCTGTCCACCGGGCAACTGGTCTGCCCCTCTTCCTAGAGCCTGCTGGTCCGACCCAAGACGTCAATCTCTTCGTCCATCTGCTATCTGTCAGCCGTGTTATGTGGCCAGCCCAGTGCCACTTTAATTTTTTGCAGTGGCATCAACAACCTTAGTCTTTTTCCTAATAGTTTTATTTGGTACTTTTTGTATCTTTTTCAAGTTTAATATGCTTCTTTCCATCCCGCTTTGGCATGACCTAATTTTGTTTTAAGCTTTAATAGTAAACTTCCAAGTTTGACTGCCGTAAGTTAGTGATGGGAGAATACAGGTATCCATGACTTGTTGTTTAATTCTAATTGGCATTTCACTTTTAAAAACTTCTTTCAGGCTCCAAAATTTTTTCCATGTGTTTCAGATTTATATTCTTGTTCAAAAGTATCCTACATAGGTATAAGCAGTGTATTTGAGTATTACAGTTTTTCTAATATTTATAATTTTTACTTAAACATTAGAGATGCCTTAATTTTCAAGTCTTGTTTATTTTGGAAATTAAATAACATATTTATGCATCTAGGTTAATAGAAGATAATTATAATTTTTTAACCATTTTTTTTATTTAGTACGGCAAAATAAGTTGTCTTTTTCCGTTATCCTCCCTTTTTAGTCATACCTTGCATTCATCCATCTTTTCTTTAGTTTTTCTCTATTCTTATATCTGTGAACTTCCATATATAGAACTTTTTTACTTTATTTTGCTCATCTTTACGTATTACGTAACTAAAACAACTAAGTTAAATAATTATAAAATAAATAAATATGTACTTTATTTATTAAATATTCATAATCTATATTTGTATATATACATACAATTATACAGTTTTAGAAGCAAATTAATTCTATTGAAAAAATCTTGTAAGTAATCTACCAGTACAGCAAGAAAAAATTATGTAACAATTCCAAAGTATATGAGAATTGGTTTAATTAAAGTAAGCTAAGAATTGAATGCCAAATTAACCTTCATTGGTGAACTGTTTATACTCTTGGCACCCGCACTGAACACACCTTTTTTTCCAAAGCCATTTCTACAAATTATAGTTCAGTTCAGTTCTGCGGTGGTCATGTCATCCTTAATCCGTGGTCCAAGTACGGATAGATGGATGTTGTACTGCATCACCAGAAGTTGGAGGATGTCATAGTCGAGCCTGCAACTGTAGTTTTATTCAAGGGACCATTGCGGAAGGGTAATAAAACAGAATGATGAAAACTGTTAAGAAGTATTTTAGTAATTTTAGCTTGCAAAAATAGTCATCTTTCTGTTTATACGTTTTCTAAATTAAATATTGATTACGATGTCTCTAACCTCCTTATTAATAGCAGGTACTACAGTAGATTCTTTTTCAGATTCGCACAGGTATGGTGCAGGTGTCGGACGGCAAGTCGCGGCCGAGGCCTGCGCGACTTGTGCTCACGATGGACGCGGTGACCGTCCAGCGCGAGGCCCCTGTGCCCGTTCAGCCGACTAAGGAAAAGAATGTACCTCATGCCAGGGTAAGTTATTACCACCTACCGAGGTCTTATGCTACTCGTGTCAGACGAGAAATAGGCCAGGCAATAACTTTCAGCAAGTCGTGCTGGCGAGCTCTTCTTGGTTCCCAGGGGACGCCATCGTGGTGATGCAGGCTACTAAAAACCACCTGTCGGCCTACCTATCAGGCGCCCGACTCTAAGGGGAACGCTGCGCCTAACTAGGCACTATACGGGACCTTCTCCCCGCCTGTCGGCCCAATAGCCGGGCTTGGGAGCCCTAGATTTTCTAATAATACTATGCTTACATTCCATCGACAAACACATAATACTGCCAGCCAGATAGAAAAAGTAAAAAGTAGCTCCTTCAGTCTGTGAGAGTAAAAAACCCTTAAATGTCAATGATGTAATCGCCGATAAAGAACGTAGATTGAATCTGCTTCGCATCGACCCTCGCCCTTGACCCTCTCCAAATATGCGAAATCGCTCAATTATATTTACAATGACGCAGAAATAGTTTCTGTTTGAGCATTCGATTTCTTACTGGTATTTCTGCAGCCAAAGAAGATCGATTTTATGTATCACGACTCTCTGAAATCATACGTGGCACTATCGTCATAGATGATTTGAGAGAGATGAGATTATGAGATGAGATTAAAAAATTATAGTACCTAACCGGTGATTTACAGCCGCCATATGATTTATAAATCATATAATCACACCTGTGACTAAATCACTGAGCCAGACTCGGCAGTTATCTTTGTCTATGAACAAATCTAAGTACCTACTTAGTGTTTTATCAAATCACAGTGACCCAAAAGTCAATACCCATAAATTTATCATATGATTATGTTTCAAAAAGTAGTAATAATTTCCATGCCTAATGACGATTGATATAGCATGTGAATTAAATTTCAGTAGGTCACACGACAAACGAAGTACCTGGCCAGTGGTACAAAGTAGCTGTCATTTGAATGAACTGTTATTAGAGAAAATTTATTTAGTAACGCAGAATGGTTATTAACGATAATATATAATTTGCAAATGTGTGAGTAAAGAAACGAGATATTTACAATTCTACCCATCACACCATCATCACATCAACAGCCTTTAATAGTCCACTTCTGGACATACGCCTCTTCTTAGAACAGACGGGTTGGTATAGGGTTTGTGTCAAGTTTTCCTTCTTTTTGCAGTGCTGGTGTCCTGCGTTGTTTTGCGCCCTAAGTACACCCACGGAATGAATTGGGGTAGTAACATTCCGTATTCATAATCCGTCACTACACGGACAACGACCCATGTAAACGTGTAATATGTACTTACCGGAATAACGCACACATGTAAACTATTTGCTGTGTGTGAAATATGAATCTCATGGTGGCTTTATCTAAAGCTTTGATCTCCAACGTCCTTCAATCAACGTATATCGGACATTCCGAACGAAAATATGACGTGAGGTTAGCTACGACTGTCCTTCCTCTTGAGATAAGGTTATGTAAAGATTTTTCAATCCTTCTTTTCTCAAGCGATCTGATTATTATGAAACACTTGAAATCGATAGAGTTACAATATTAAGAATTGGTCGCTTTTGTTTTACAGATAGTTACATTTTTATTTGTTTTATTATATTATTCCATATAGAACTGAACTGTAATCACAATTTTATAAACTTAAAAGAATCTACTTAAGATTGCTATACAACCTACTGCGATATTTTTATTATTATTTTGTTTTTAAAAGACAACTGCCGCATTAGGAATATATCCTGTGTCGTAGGGGACTTAACAAACATACTCAAAACGGACACAAAGAACACCCAGACTCAGAACAACAATTTGGGGATCACACAAAGTGTCGTCCCATGTGGGGATCGGACCCACAGCACTCAGCATAATAATAAGCGGCGTGGCGACCGCTTAAACCAGTTTTCTACACCGTGCGTGCAGTAGTTTTTATCCTGGAAACATAAGTTCATGGAATAACGTAAGAGGAGCTTCCCGACCAAAACTAGAATAATAACACAGGCCAACAAAATTAGCAGCGTAGCAGGAAGCTGCGTGGCGACCGCTTTAACCACTACGCCATCCGTGCAGTTATTGCGATATTAATGATAGAATATATCGTGTAAAAGTCAACAAATCAAAATCTTAACTGTTGTTTTAACTTTGAATAAAGTGAACCTTGTCACTTCACTAATAATTCCACAGAAACACGAGCGTGATTAAATAATTTAAAACTTATTTCAATATTCATATACGACCATTTCGAACTCACGCCATAAAACAGAATTGAAATTGCTCAACAAGATATATAAAAATATAAATGTACTTGTGTACCTACAGTTATCATTTGCAGGCTATTTTGAATTGTATCAGAACGCACAAGAGTTGCTATTGGTCTGACCGAGCCAGGATCGCCTCAGTATTGACAGTATAAGGTTGTAATTACATCTGTGTGTTTAGGCGTAATGACCAAGTTAATCGCCCTGATGGCTTTTTTCGGCTAACGGATCTTTTGCTAAACCTAAATCTGTGCCTATTAGGAAAATTGTAGTAGATTGTAGTATCCAGACCCTAATAATAGTATATACAGACTAAATTCTCGTTTACCGCTCGCTGCCACTTTCTTCCTTTATACCGTCTGAAAACGCTAACAATCCCAAAGAGAGCGTGATGCTGACCCCTTAGTCTTTTCACATTATTTTCTTCTTCTCAGTCGTCTTAATTCTTGTCAGAGTGGTCGAGGCTATGACGATGATGGTTATAATTTTTTTCTGGGTATCAAACTCACTTGTACTTAAATAGTTATTACGACTTTATTTACGGTTAAAGACATTTATTTTTCTCAAAAGATTACAATAAATCACTTGCAGAGAAAAATACAATACTAAACAAAAATATATTACTTAATTAGCGTAGTTAGTTAGTAAGGTAGTTGTGAAAAGTTTTTTGTGAGTAGGGTAGATTAAATACTTTCTATACAGCTGTGAGTTCAAGAATGTTGGTGCACAAAAGAATGCATGTTTGTTAAGGCCTATGACTTAGTGACACGTATCTGTAGATTGATGTCAAACATTTTATTTCTTATTATAGTGACACCAGCAATGTAATATGTTTTATAAGTAAATAATATGTTATATAATTATATAAGCGGAGTGTACCTACTGCTTTTATGTATATTTAGACTAAACATAGGAGCGTTGTAAATTGCATCCCAGAATATTGTATGTAGTGTTCTATACATAATATTGCCAATCTTTTTTTTTTTTTTTTTTTTTTTTATACATACATATACACACACACATATATATATATATATATATATATCAATAAAAATATGTGTAAATTTGTATTAGTATAGGAATTATATACTATTATATATAATTACTTCGTATTTCTAACCTACAACAGGAGATCAATAGATTGATTATGGACCAGCTTGACCAGAGTGGTATCACGGCCTCACAGAAAACTAGCCATTTTTTCGTTCCTTTTCACGTAGTGAGCGAAGGTACCGAAGCACAAACCCTTCCTCATTCCTCCCCCTGATTCTGGAAGGGGGCTCAAAAGGCGACAACGCACTTGTGACTCTTGAGTTGTAGGTGTCCATAGGCGGTAGCACTCATTTTTTTTTTAATCCCACCCACACGCCCACCACTGTAACTCCTGTACACCAGGATCCACAGCAGTGACCCACGAACACACCGAGTTATGACACTCGGGAAGTCCAAGGAAAAAATTAAACTGTCTTGGAACCCGCAACGAAATTAATCAGAAGAAAATTGGAGGAGTTGGAAATACAGTAAATCCACTTCCCTCCTTAGCAAAGCGGGAGACAAAATGAAGTAAAATGGGCATACACCCTTTTAAACAGGGAATAACCACGGCCACAAATATTACGGGTCCTACGTGAGCTATGTTTAAATTCTAAAATATGTATGGCAGAATCGCCTAAACGCACGGAAATTCACCCTAGTTGACACAAGATCCCCATAGTATACCGCCCCAGATGTCACCTGCAAGCTATTCAGCATTATATTACGTTCATTATACCAAAGACTACATTCCCAGAGGATATGATGAGCAGACTGTTCATAGTGAGAGTTAGGTGTTGAGCATTGACACAATGGTGACTCGACTAATTTAAATGAATAAAGCTACTACTCATTTACCATCACACTACTGGTCTACTCCTTGTCCTCTTATTCTATAAAAAACACAACGGGGTCATCAAATCTTGCTTAACTGATGTTTCCCGAACCACTAATGATTGTAATTTGTACGGTGCCTGTTTAATTGTTTACGGTTTGCTGGATTGATTTGGCTAAAACAGAACAGTTGCTGGCGAGACAGGGGCGCGTAATGGTAAAAGTTTTTTAATTATTCCAAAAAGTTCTCCGCTTCTGAATAGCTTTTGAAACATTTTGAAATGTATAAAGTTTTGATTGTTTTGTTGTACGTAGAATTACAAGATGATACGAGTACATGCATTTCGGTATCGAGATTGTTGAAATCCAAAAACCCGCTTTTACCCTTAGATTCTACGTTATTTATAGATTTAAGAATTTCTGCAGTTTTCTGACTCATTAGTAGCTTTAAGAGTCCGGATCTCGAAATATGTCCAGGGAAAGCAGGTTTGTTGACATGCTGACATGGCAGGACATTGTTGACATACTGACCTCCACTCGGCTAACCCACGGACAAAGTAACTTTTCGAGTTTGCGAAACTAAAAAAATAATTTAAAATCACTTGATTATTAAACTTGTTATTGTTATTAATATACATATTGATTACATGTTGAAAAACATAAGGAAATAAATATACCTACATATTTAAAAATGGTAGACCACGGAAACCGCGTGCAGTGACCGGTGATTACGGCTCCAAAAACAGGGGCCTGCTACTATAAGGGCCATAATAATATCTGTATAATAAAAATCATTTCATTTTTACACGCTTTATATTAGCTTCATTTGTATGTTTGTAACCGACTCCTTTGGGCGTGATTTTGACTGACTTTAAACGGTCAGAATTCGTTCAAACTTTGTAGATATATCGAGGACCGATGACAATACACTAATTTAAAAAAAAAAAAAATTATAGTTTTAAAAAAAACTAATAAACACGCTTTCTATAGAAAACCAAACTAAAAAATAGAAAATAAATTTGAAAAAAAAGCGTTGGGTGCCTGTTGTCAATAGTAAAAAGCACCGCAGTGTATTGTTAGCCTTTATAGCCTACTGCTGGACATTTTTGACGGCGTGGAAAATCCCTTCGGATCTCCTGCTCCGGACTCAGGAGCCAGGAGTATGTGGTGATTCCACTAAAAACCACCCCGACGGCCGGCCTCAGGTGCCCTACTTTGGGAGGACCTGGACTATGTTCTTTCAGGTCCAAGTCTTAATGCTATCAGGCCGCCATTCTATCCCCTACCGCAGCATTCAATCAGCCACCAGATGTCCCCACTCTCTGGCGGCCCGCGGGCACCGTAGTAGAGTAGTAGTAGATCCCGATCCCGTTCAGCGCTCTGTTTCTGGAGCATTACAGCTTTACAGAAAAACACCACTGCGCCCCATCCCTCCTCACCCGCCAGCATGGCAGCAATGATTGCTGGCAAGGACAGGTCTCGTCCGATTTGGTTGACCAGGACTTCGCGTTCAGACGCCTAACGCGGGGGTCAGTCTTCCAACTTGTGCTGGGCGGAGTCCCAGTCGGCTGCGCAGTCCTGGCATTGTGCCGTCTCCTCGCGTCCGATACGTTTCAGGTACTCACCGAAGCAACCATGCCCAATGAGTACCTGCGTCAGTCGATAGGTGACGCGACTGACAGGACAGCGCGTTGGCGTGCATTCTGTGGTTGTTCCAACCGCACGCGCCACTGCACCAGTGCCTGTAGGTGAGCGTTCCGCCGCATTTCGAGCGCGTCCTGGTCTTCCCCGCTCTCACCCCAGCGGATCGCGCGAGTCTAGTCATAGACCCTCACGTCCATGTCTGCCAGGATATCAAAGGACATAGGCCTATCCTTCAAAAGGAGGTTTTGGCCTACCATATCACGTTGGCCAGACTGGTTGGTTTGTGTCTAGTTTTCCTTCTCTTTGCAGTGCTGTATGCTCTTTGCGTTCATAATAATAATACTTTTTCATCTAAATAGTCACAGTGGCTAGCATTTGTTTTGGGAAAACTTGTCTTAGTTTAAAGGCAGTCGTGAGTCGATGTCACACTGTTGTTTTCGCAGACACAGAATATGGATTCGATCTGGAATAAATTGTTTTATTTGATTTGATTCGTTTCTATGTACCGGTTGACCTTGAAAATTTTCTATGCGTGACACTGTCAGGAGTGGTTTAAGGAGATAGTCAACGCCCTCATCGTATTAAAGTCTGTAAATGTTGTAGTTTACGCGAGTAAACAAACTAAGTATGTGTAAACTTCTCAGCTCTACTTTTATGACTGGCTAACTGCCTACTGGGATGGCGTTTTGTTTACCTCGTTGTAGAATACCCATACCGTTCGAACCATGGCGACTCTCTCGAGACGGCTTGAGACGCAAGTTCCAAAAGATATTTTCTAATAAATAACAAGAGGTTTTTCTATGTACATTGTTGTTTTGATGACGCAGCTCATTATATCATCAAGATCAGGACAGATAAGTGGTGGCTGATACAAAGGGATCTTTGTCGAGGTTAAATACACAATAGCCACATTATAGGTCTTATAATACAACACACAATACAATTGTCTTGTTTATTAGTTCTACGGGCTCCCTTATTTCGTTAGACTTCTTCGGAGGACTTCTACATACAATAGTGATCGATTTCTCATATAGAAATAGGTATTTGATCTACAAAGAACTTCCTAAAGGTCAGTTGACCGAAATAATTTTCACTTCAGGGAATCGTTGAACCGTAATGAAAGTGGAATCTCTTCATATGTATGAAACGCTTGAGGCAGGGTCTCAGAGACATAAAGCCATATATAGAATTCATTGGTCTGTGGAATGGCGTGGACTTTTATCCTCTTAACCAACTTAAAAAAGATAAAAGAAGGAAGATTTTCTAAATTCGATTGTATATATTTTTTATATTTATTACCTCAGAACACTTTTATTTATGAACCGATTTTGAAAATTCTTCTTTTTTAAGTGGTATACTTCCCGTTTGGTCCTAATTAAATTTGAAGAAAAAATACTAAACCTCAGTTGAAAAAAAACTATTTAGAGTTGTTTCCCTAAGTGCCTAAAATAATGATTTTAGAACTCATCAAACTATATGACTCAGAAGCTTCATCTTGTATGTAGCAATGTTTAGTGTATAACACATTAATTTCGAAAAATAAACAACTATAATTAAAATAAAGTATGCAATTTTGATCGATTTCATAATCGTGTTTTATGACAGCTACCTGAACATAACAACTTCAATAATTTAAACATAAATCCGCACAGATAATGATTTTTGCACGAAGCCGCTCCGTCGACTAATGGGCGGTAGTTGTAAATAATTAAACATACAATGAAAAATGTAAGTAGACGGTAGCGTTTGACAGGAACATGGGATAAGCAGTGGATTTAGGGTGGGAGGAGCTCGTCTAATGAGGATATGTCGATTATAAAGTTCGCGCCAGTTGATATTATTGCGTCTGATCGATAAATACATCTATACACATAAAATTACTCGCCTTGAATGACTGATTCATCACCACTGAGGGTACAAATTTGAAATTTTAGTAACTTATGCTTTTTGTATTGTGAGCACCCACTAAGAAAGGATTTTTGGAAATTTCATCCCTAAGAGTGAGGACCGGCAACCGTGGTACACCAGTCAGCACTCGTACGTGTAACACTGAAAGCTTATCTAAATTTAGTACGTGTATCGAGCGGGCACCGTAGTGAACAGAACAATACTCGTACTTAACCTACGCCTAAGTACCTAAATCCCTAAATTGCCTAGCCCTACCAATATGTGACCCTGCGCTGAGAGTATATATACATAATATATAGATAGTGCGTCAAGTCTGTTACCGGGAGACCTAGGGCGACAGACGGAAAGAGACGGGAACAGGGTTTAGGAGATGATTTTCTCACTGCTGGCATCGATTTTACGCCGCACTGCGTGTGACATAGATGCTGTTGCTGGGTGATGCAATTATGTTTATGATTGAACAAAAAAAGAGATAAAATAAGGGATGAAAGGTGGAATGGAAGTTGGTCATTTTTAAAGTTAGGAACACGAAATAAGATATAATCACGTGAGCGAAGCCACCTGAAATAGCTAGTACACTTACGTATACTTTTAAGTGAGTCAGCTTTAAAATATTATTTTACTAGGGCGGTAATGTTGTTATTGCTAAAGAAAATAGATGTAGGAATCTAGCAAACACTAGAATGAGGTCTAAAGGAGCGCAGATGCTAAATGTTTAAATCTGGATACTTTTACCGATAGATATAAAGATATTGCACCCATAGTCCTAATTTAAATACCTAACAGTAACGGGTAACGGTTTCCCCGTAATCTGGGCGTAGTCGCGAAAAATACCACCAAAATTGATGTTTTTCTTGCTCCACTGGCTCGTTTTTTTTCAGTTAAATAACCACATGGTCACACACACACACATCACACTCTTTTTTTTATCTGGCTACGTCTATTTGTTGCGGAGATATCCGAATTTGACAAAAAAAAGACCAGAACTAGAAAAAGGACATAAGTATTAAAAAAATATTTTCGCACTATTTATTCGGATTGTGTTGAAACCGTGCCCACGTAATTTATTTTTAATTATTTTTAATTTTTTGGGCCTACTACTTAAAAAAAATACTTTTTTTAGATTCGAGCGTTTCACTTAGTAATGGGCTATTACTAAGTGAACACAATTAAGTTAACAATCGAGAAAAGAAATTAGTGTTTTTTGTTCTCTTAATTTTGATGAATCTTAACTTATCCATACTTATATTATAAATGTGAAAGTGAGTTGAAAGTTTGTTTGTTTGTTTGTTACGCTTGCACGCCTAAACCACTCAACCAATTTTAAAAATGCCTTTACTAATGGAAAGCTACATTATCAGCGAGTAACATAGGATACTTTCACGCGGTCAGAGCCGCGGGCAAAAGTTTGTATATAATCTATATATATATAAGAGATTTCCACGTATATAGTCACTCATCACGATATCTCTGGAACCATTAGAGATAAAGACTTGAAATTTGGTAGGAAAATTCTTTTCACCGAGTAGAGGTCAGCTAAGAACGGATTTTAAGAAATTCAAAAAATAAAAATAATTTAAATAATGTAAATAGCAAAACAACGTTTGCAGGGTCAGCTAGTATATAATAAGCGCCAAAATTTAAATGAGCTAAAACGCGATCTCGTTAAAGATTGCTTTCAACATTATTTTACTCTATTAAAGCTTCATGGTTTCGTTGCGTATCTCTACAAAGTACTGCGGTATATATAATATATATATATTGATGTACAATGTACATGTATATTTATATAAATGATCCCAGTCCATCCTAACGTTGTCTGAAGAGATTACTCTAACCGATAAGGCTGCTCTTTTTGGATAATAATATTTTTCTTACTGTACAATTTATGTTTTCAAATCTCTGTGATACCCTGGTGTAGAAATAAAGTATTATCTGTCTGTGTATCTATATTTTATACTGTTACTGCGTTTGCTAGCAGGACAATGAATTTAACATTGAACTGAGGTGAAGAATAAATTATTAGATACCATACATTTAATACTGTTTACTGTCATGCGTCAATAGGTCTCTGTTAGTTTAGCCAATTTATAGATACGACATTGTATGAAATTAATGGTGATTGACTAGTTTGATTATGTGGCTAGTATTCTGTTATTTACTGACTAAAATAAGCCTTAAAAATAGTCAGATAGTTCTAAATCCACAAATATGAACAAGGTAAACTTTTTTTTAAGTCTACCAGCAATCTACCGCTAAGCTAAAATGCTTGTGTTAGGAGTAGGTTAACGTCGGTAGTGTACTGATTAGGATTTGAACCCACGACCTCACGAACGTAAGTCCAACGCCTTAACCACTAGGCTACCGCCCGCTTGTAGGTAAACTAAAACACGAAACGTTTGTTTGCTATAACAATTTAACTAGAATAACTTCCTAGAGATCAAATAAGGGTTTAAAAATACCTACGGAAACATGCCGAATTTCTTGTGAAAATATCGGTACATATTCTCGCCATCTGTTAAACAAATATCTAAGTGATAGACTCACAACGGGTTGTCCGGAACGTTAGAGATAGCGATCACTCTTGAACAGTAGCGTAAAAGTTTCAATGTAAAATTCCTGTTAAATATTTCAACAATTGCTATTGATTTGTAAGTACCGAATGACTATAAGTAATTAATTGAGAAATTATGTTAAGAGGTAAATATATTTAATAAGTACAGGCATCTGGTTCCTTTCTAGTTATCGCATCGGATTCCGAAAAAAAAAACAGACGTGTCTGAAAAGTAACTGCTTTTTTTTTGACGGGGTGGAAAATCCCTTCGGATCTCCTGCTCCTCGGGGACTCAGGAACCAGGAGTATGTGGTGATTACACTAAAAACCACCCCCATGGCCGGCCTCAGGTGTCGTACTCTGGGAGGACCTCGGCCATGTTATTTCAGGTCCTCCCCGAATTGACACCATGCCTCATCAAGGCCTATCCCAGGGGAAAACACTTTCCCCTTCAATCGCGGCGTGGCGGCCCGAGTGCATCTTAATGCAATCAGGCTGCCATTCTATCCCCAAAGTAAGTGCCTACGGGTGGTTGTTGCCTGTGTCACAACTACAACATCTAACAGATTTCACCATACAAAAACACTTAACTAACAGCATCAATCAAAACGTCTCTGAAAGACTATTAAGAGATTTTGACTGTTGCTATAGTAGATAAACTCCCTTTTTTACTAAGTGTTAGTCAAAATCCGCAATGTACGTGGCTTGTGCCAGAGGGCCTATTACTCAATTGTGGATGACATAGAAGACAAAAATGCTTAGTATCAATTAGCTCAGGCTATTTCTTAAGTAAAAATGTAGTGTGGGCTAGTTGTTTTTCTCTTTCCATTTTGTATGTTTCTCTTCATTGTCTTTTTACCTTTTAGTCCTTAATAACGGACATACAAGCACACATCAAAACAATGTTGTGGTATATTTAATAATGCCATTTTATCTATCTGTGAATTGCAAAAGAGTGGCCATCAGTTTGTTTGCCCTTTCTTTTCAAAAGGCTGAACCCCTTGGAAACGGGCGGTTGTAGATCGACACAGGCATATCATAGATTTTGTAAAATTTTATTTTTTATTAAATTTATTTGCTTACTATTTCACTAAACAGAGATTGTTGCTTTTGTGTGTGTTGATTTATGACTTTACAGTCTGCATAAAAGACGATTTCAAACAATTTTATTTTTTTTATGAAATAAAGAGAGTTTGAGTTGAGTCGAGTTGAATCATTATCAGCCAATGATTTTTAGATAAAACTGCTTTAGACCTAATTGTTCAATCGAAACTGTCTTTGTACGTATTACAGTTAAAACCACTTTCGACCGATTCATTTTATGAGGTTCAATGTTTCCAGGAGCGTATGGTGCAAATTACTCGGCAAAAGGTTGGCGGCCTTGGGCTCAGCATCAAAGGCGGGTCGGAGCATAAACTGCCCATTCTTATCTCTAAGATATACAAAGATCAGGCGGCTGACCAGACGGGACAGCTGTTTGTCGGTGACGCAGTTATTAAAGGTAACTTGTTTAGATTTAATGTAATAGTAATTCATTATTAATTTGAGGTATCTCAAAGTTGTAAACTTCGTTCTACAGTCTATAACACCCCTTATAAAAGACAGGGGTTAAAAAGGTTATTAACATGTTTGTGTACTGCCCTAAAGCGACAGAGACAGGGGAGGAAACTGGATTCACTTGCGTCGTAGTAATATTCGATATCCCGATTTTACCATCACCATGCTCTTATGCAAATCTTTTGGCAATACATGCTAATGAAACAGTGTTCTGCACTTCCTTGCTTTTTGGGTCGCGCACAACTCTTTAATACTTCCATACACTTATAAAATACAGAATTGACGGTTATGTTTTAAGTATTGTAATAGTGATACAGCTACCGTTTTATACTTAAGAAAGAAACGAGGTAAAGATTTTAACGATATCCGCTGCATCCAAACTTTTTTTACTCTTTGAGAAGTTACGACGGAATAAAGAAACACATACACATAAACATCAACCCTGAGAATATAAAACTTCTTTTGGGCAGTCGTGTAATAAATTGTGAAAACGTTCTTGATGAAACCTGTTGGATTATCTCAAAAGATCCCAAAATGAAAGAAGGGCGAATAATAACATCAGTTTAGACGGAGAACTGGAACAATGTGCATATATTAATCTCATTTGCCGACGTGACACGACCTCATTAGGTTCTCTGGTAAAGAATGACGAAGGTAGCCGAGTAAACACAGTTCACGGACCCTTCTTTTGAGGATGGAGCGAATGGAGTTGATTGCCATAATTACTTTGCTTGGGCACGTAGATTAATGCCTTATGACTTAGAGTTAATTTGTACCGCATTGGTGCTTGTATGTATATTTTTACCCACACATTCACGAGCGATACTAGTGCAGTATTTTTTAATGGGTTTATACCCAATACAATGGGCAAACCCAAATTTTTGATAGAAATATAAGCTTTGTTTTGTTTATTAAAAGAACCTAAGAACTTGTCTGTTAGTTCGTTGAACTTATGTAATCTGTGTTGTCGCAATGGGTTTATGCAAGATCTTGTCTCTATGTCTCATATTATTAAGAGTGATATAGTAACATTTCCTATATGTTTTTCATTTATAAGAAAATTCCCACTTCTGGCAACTTTTGCATTAATAACTTCCGCAAGCAGATTTAAGTTCAGGATTAATGTTCCTGCTGACTTGCTGCTGACTTGCTTGCCTAGTTAAAAATATCAATTGACTGCACGGATGGCGTAGTGGTTTAAGCGGTCGCCACGCCGCTTCCTACTACGCCGAGTGTTGTGGGTTCAAACCCCACATGAGACGACACTGTGTGATCCACAAATTGTTGTTCTGAGTCAGGGTGTTCTTTTGACTACGTGTTCTTTTGACTACGCGGAGTCAGGGTGACTCAGCGTAGTCGTAACCGACGTGACGACCACTACGCCATCCATGCAGTCGTTAGCTCTTATTTCATTACTTACCTCTCGAAAACCTTTAAACTCGCTTTAAAACTGCCATTTGAAAGCGTTAATGGCAAGAGCTATGTTGGTTCCTTTAGTTTTTAGCTCTCAATAAATTTAACACAACCACAAATGTTTTAAACAACACAATATGTCTTCCTACATTAAAGCTATATTCTAAACTTCTAAAGGAACGTCAGTGCGGTCATTAAATAGCTTAACAAGCACTAATTAGTAGGTAGTGCAGATGCAAATTGCACGCCACTCCGGCGACTAATTAAAGACAATCAACTGGATAGATACTGCAGAATTCAGGCCATGGTACAGAATTGCTATTGTCTCTGTTTGTGTCACTTAGCGAGCTTTGACATCAAACTTTGACCTGGAATTTCATTAGGTATTTGACGGGGGCCGAAATGAACCAAATATAAGACCTAGAGTAAAGTAAGTAAGTACGTAAATTGTAAAATTTATTTTTAACCTGACTGTGTGGAATAAATTAGTATGGAAACATGTGAATGTGTGGGCAAGTTCTCTATCAAGGAAAAAGGAAACATACTAGAATTTAGATAAGTTTCTACATTTTTATGTAAATCTTGTATATCTAGAAGTCAAGAAATTGATTTTTGATGATCTGTTAGTTAGCCGGTCAACTCCAAAATGTATTTTTTAGATGTTTGGTAACACACAAAAATCAGGCTAATTGAGAACCTCTTTTTTTAAATCTTTAAAATAAATATTTCATTGTATTTCATGATCTCACTTTGCAGTTGTTGTAAGCAGTGTGTTACTGTGTAAGTAATGCAACATGTTCTAATGTAATTATCGGCATCAAAGCGGGAGTTATTTATAAAAGCGACCGATGCAATGATTGTCTTACAAGCTGACTTTGTTACAACACGCGTCGCCGGTAAAGGAATGCTCGCATTGGTTTTAGATCTTTTATTTTCGTTCATCGGACACTCGTGGTTTCGTTCTCGTGGTATGTAGGGTATTGTGTAAACAGTCATATATATTTGAATACAGTTTTATAAGGAATACGCTATGGTGGTGTTATTTTGAATAGTCCAATGGTTTTTCGGCTATTAAGCTCTAATATTAGATCCTGGGAATATTCTTTTCTATGTGGAATTGTCGAATGGTTTTGAAAGTTTAGTAGCGATATAAAATTATATGTATATGTATTTCCTGATATTAAATTACCCATTTTAGTTGTCACAAAAAGACTTGTGTTGTGTCAGCACACTATCTATCTGAAACATTTTGATCAAGGCAATCTTCGTTTCTGTAAGATAGTGTAGTATAGTGTTATTTGTGATCATATGATTCGTTTTAAGGATGGGAACAGCTTTACCTTGATAACGGTCGTCTGATCAAGCCTGAGGAAGTGGATTTTGGAACTATTTTTAGTTTGGCTCGCCATTAAACAAATACGATGTTTCCTTTAAATTATGATTGATTTTATGCAAATCCAGGACTTGTTATGGTATAACTAAAAAACAAGAAAGTAGTTTACTAAACTCGGTTTTTGAAATTCAGTAGAAAAAGTAAGTAATATGAAAGAATATAATGTTACGAAAATTGGATTATGAAAATTGGATTGAGTATTAATTATTGTGAGACTTCACGGTTCAGCTCAAGGTTATTGACATACTTTTTAATCCACTTTCCTGAATGAGTGATTAAGAAAAACTAGCTAAAAATAATTATGCTGAAAGGAATCAATAGATATATCATAGAACCGTCCGTATCCGTGTGGTGACGGATTAAGAGATCAGATTCTAAGGAGAGACCTATGTTCTGCAGTGGACTAGTAAAGGCTGTTGATCATGGAACTGCCTGATGTTCCCACCAACTTATAGTTGATATGACAACAAGCTGACTATTTAAAACTAGGCAAAAAAATTAATGCATCTTAATTCTTGATAAAAGATACTGTCGTAAAAGGACATGTTTTGAATTTCGGCAAAAGCTGCACCATTTTAGTTTGTTGACATCTTTCTGATTTCACCCAGATCTACTAACTGAGCTTTATCGAATACGCGTTTATAATGTAAAAACCACAAACAGGAAGTAGTCTCCTATAAGAAATAGAGAAAATTAGGTTACACCTAGTAGTTATTTTTTTTACGAATTTTTCACTTAGTTGATTACCGCCAATGGAATTTGAGTCATCCGAATTAGGACTAGCTGCTGTTTTAGTTGTCACATCTTTCCTTTTATTTTGTAATCCAGGAAGCCGGAGAAGCGTGTGCTATCTATTTAGTTTGACCAAAAAGCACGTATAGCTGGAATTAACCGTTACATGGTAGATGAAAATTCAGATGTTATACATGTATTGTAATGCGCTGCACTGCACTACACCGTAACCTGTTCTTCTTTCGCTCTCCCAACTATCTTTTAATATTATACTTGCCGTGGCAACCTGTAATTAAGGCAGCACCAATGCTTATATACTTTACTTTTAAGATGTATGTTCTTGATGGTTTTCCAAATAAACTAATTTCTAATTTGGTGTTGTAGTAAACGGCGAGTACATAACAGCGTGCAAGCACGACGACGCGGTGAATATTCTACGCAACGCCGGGGACATCGTCGTGCTCACTGTCAAACACTACCGGGCTGCCACACCCTTCTTACAAAAACAAGGTACACCTGCAAATCCATATTGAAAGTAATGTTGCTTAATTTTTAGATAAAAGAAAATTAATACTTATAGAAATTATATGTTTTGTTTAAATTTAATGTCTGGGGATTTCTAAATGAAATTACGATATTAAGCTGTGTAGGAATTTCTACTGGCTAGAAATGGAGGGGAAAGGGGAGAGGAGGTTTTGAGTTTTAATTACTATAAATAGTAAAACATGGGAAAAAGAGAAATATTTGGCAATATAATAATGAATTTGTAGCGGACGGTGCGTCGGACACGGATAGCAGTACGGGCGACGACCACCCATCGCTACACAACAAGCCTGTCGACGCCAACTGCAATGAAAAGACTTCAGAACAAATCAACGGAGGGTGGCAAGTCAGTGTCATTATTTTGTTATAAACATTGCTCCTTTTGGCAACGGAACGCTAAAAAATAAGAATCAAATATACAGTTTATGCCCTAAATATACAGAAATAGTTTATACATTAAATGTTCTATGCCATAGACTAGCTAAGACAGTCAAACTCATGATCACATCCTGACGGATTTACTCTTAAAGGTATTTTGAAATGATATGCGATATATGTTGACATCATTTAACACGTGTGAATGATGATAAAGTTGATACATAACAATAATAGTAACAAGTACAGGAGAGCCACTTTCTTTTGTGATTTAAAGCAAAAACAACTCTAACGTATATAAAATAAAATGCAAACTAACTTGTACGGTGATGCACACTGAATATTAAGTATCTATTGTTAGGTGCTGCATTACGGGCTATTGTGCATAGTAACAATGTTAAAATTTGCATATAATGCTTAGTAGCGCAGACTGTGGTTAGAGTCCAATAATAATGCTTTACGATTATTGTTTTCCGATTGCCAAATGAGTGCCAATGTGATTGAATTGATTGAAATCCTTACAAATCTCAGTAACGATTAAATTGAAATAAAACATTGGAAAGAGTTAGAAAGTAAAATATTTATGTTCTTGCAATTGTATCCACAAATCCTGATTGTGTAAATTGTGTTTTTTTTTAAATTTATATTTGTGTGCAGAGTGCGTGGACGGAAGGCGATGAGAACAGTCGCCCTGGGTCTGCGGCGGGATCGGCCCGAGGCTCGCGACCTCCTTCGGTGGCGTCGGACCGAACCGTCGACCAGCCCCGGGAATGGCGGGACGTTATATCTGGTATGTATCCTTATTAAAATATTTCGCTACAAAGTGAAATGTAAAGTTGTAACAAATTTTTATTTTTTATTTCTAGTGCCGTTGATGATGGGGTATGTCACTAGATATGTGTTCGGCACGGACAAGTTGCGACCTGGCGCGTTCGAGGTTAGTTACAAATTCTGTTTTTTTTTTTTTGCAAGAAATTTGTGTAAGTTTGTGTGTAAGAGCGACGTTTGTTAGCTGTTACAAGTACCACCAGCAATGTGTTTGTCTCTTTTTTTTATAGAATAAAGGGGCAAACAAGCAGGCGTGTCACCTGTACGAAGTACGCTCGGTGAAAAACTAAAATGCTAAGAGGTCTTCTCGGTGATGCCGTGGTATCAATCCGGTCAAGTCTGTCAAAATACGCCGAAACATGGCTGTTTTTAACGTTTTCAGATAAATTAGAAAAAAAATCGGTTGTCTGTAAAGTCGGTTTACTGACAATAGTTGAACGTGACAACGTCATAAGAAAATACTGATGGAATGGTTGCATTTTTCAAAAATGTATTATTGTATACGAGTAGCAGCTGTCCACGCGGACGCATCGCTCACTCAAGTAGGAGAGAGACAGATATCGAACGCTGCCGAACGCGGAGGCCGATTGTGCCTCTTTATCGCTCGTTCCGCGCTCTCGCTTGCACTTCACGCCTTAAATGGAACGCCTCAGAGCGAGGTAACGCCGCATGAGTCATGTTTTTTCGTTCGTGCAGCCGGCTCCATCGAATTATAAGACGTTGTCACGTAAAAAATGATGACAACCTTAGCTATAGGAGCTATAAGATTTCATAGGTGTCAGTTCAACCTGTCATTTATGAAATCTGTTAAGTAGACATAACTATTAAAAATATTAATCAATATTGTAGGACACAGTTTAAAAAAAAAGAGTTTTAAGAAACTCAGGTAGTAAAGTACGTAAAAATTTAAATTGAAAGTAATCGAAAGCATTTGACTTTTTAAAATGACTTTTTTATTCGTCTAAACCTTTTGAGTGCATCTACCTGGTGAACGTGATCAAAGAAGACGTTATTGTGACATAAAAAAACTAACACTGAATATTTTTGTAATACATTTAAGCCACAGAACACATAAATTTAATATCAGGCACGAGTAAGCTCGGCGAAGTGTGTTAGTGTAGTTATTAAAATGGGAATACCACAGGGCTTCATCCTTGGTCCATGTTAATTTTTAGTTGATTGGTCAGTTGAGTTGAGTTGAGTTATATGTAAATGTGGCGGCGGCAGGTGCGCGGTGCGCGGCCGCAGCTCACGACGGGCGTCATCCACGCCGAGGACCCCGCCGCGCTCTCGCTGTGGCTCAAGAGCATCTCCGACAACATCGTGGGGCTCACAAACCTGCAGGTAACCCGCATCCGCTTTTCTTCTCGTATCCACGTTTTAATATTTAAATGTTTTAAATTTTTAAATTAATTGTATTTGTTTCAGATGAAGCTGTTCAACCGTCATCTGATGGTCGGTGAGCGTATAGAGTACATGGGGTGGGTGCACGAAGGCGTGGTCCAGTCGCAGCAGCCCTGGCAGACGTATCGACCCAAGTTCCTCGTACTCAAGGGCACCGATGTCATGTTGTTCGATGTACCACCGGTTAGTATTCGTAGTTTTTACCGTGTACGTAAATAAGAAATTATTATTTACAAAAATATTTTTTAATTTGTATTTTTCTTTATATCTATTACATAATAATATGTGCGTGTTTAGAAACATAAGTATGTTTATCAGCAGTTCGGTTACCATAGTACAGGCTTTGCCTAGTTCGACATCGTGTGTGAGTCGTGTGAGGTTTCCGTCGACTGGGTGATCACATCACATCACATCATCATCAATCATCATCATCAACAGCCTATACTAGTCCACTGCTGGACATAGGCCTCTGCTTAGAAAGGAGGTTTTGGCCTACTATACCACGCTGGCCAGACGGGTTGGTATAGGGTTTGTTTCAAGTTTTCCTTCTCTTTGCAGTGCTGTTGTCCTGCTTAGTTTGCTCCCTTAGTCGGCTCTTACGACACCCACGGGATGAATTGGGGTGGTGACAATTTGTATTCTTAATCCGTCACCACACGGATTACATCAACAGATTTTAATAGTCCACCGCTGGACATAGGCCTCTCTTTGAAAAGGAGGTTTTGGCCTACTAAAACTGGGTGATAAATGAACGAAATGCAAGTAGGTCGCAAATGTTGTATTTTGAATTACAAAGCTAAACGTTTAGTTTGTAAAGGAGCGGCGTTGAAATCCGTCCCCAGATGAAGATCGGCGATCTGGCCACGTGCCCCGAGACGCTGAAGGTGTACCAGACGATGTTCCGCACGGTGAAGGAGAGCGAGACGGTGGACTGGCGCCAGCACTGCTTCCTCGTGCAGCCGAGCGCGGCCGGGCCGGGGGGCGCGGCGGCGCCGGCCCCGCGCTACTTCAGCGCGGAGACGCGCCAGGACCTGCTGCGCCTCGACGCCGCCTGGACCGCCAACATCGTCAACTCCGTCATCCGCCTCGGGGTAAGTGCCTGTTTTTTTATTTTTCTAACCCGATGAAATGAAACACTCGATATATGTCATAAACAGACAGACGTACTGACTGACTGACTCGATAAATGCAATAAAGATGTGTAAGGCCGATATCTGAGAGACATGTTTCACGGCACATAATTATGAACTGGCTCGACCGAAGTGACGAAATAAAATAAAAAAAACAAAAAGCCAGTAGGTACGTATTAAGCATTCTTTGATTGCATTTAAGTGTGTATGGGATTACCGAAGACCTAACCCTGTTAAGGCCGAAAGGCATAAACACTGACGATGTACGTTAGTTTTAAATTCACTCACCGTCAAGTGAACCATCTGTTCGCTTGACCCCCTTTTTTTTCCCCGTGCGGAAATCCCCTCGGATACCACCTATAGGTAGCATGTCGGACTCAAACCGACTAAAACCGCATGCCGTCTCGGGTACTAATAGCCGGGGAACCAGGTATACCCTAGAAAGGAAGTCCCTGGTGCCCCGACATACCTCGGGCCATCTACAACAAGTAGACGACCCCCTCCGTGTGGGAACCCCATGTTCCCTCTGCTCTGCTGCTCTGCGAGAAAGATCCTCTTGGCGACCCTGTACCCCGCTAAGAGTTCCGTCTCTCTCGCTGCCGCATCTTCGGGGCGGCGACGCCTGAGCCGGGCTGAGCCCTAGGCATCGCCGCATCGCAGACGCGGGTCATGGCCTGCCAGAACCACTGTGCCTCAGCATCGACGTCGACAGGCCTGTCCGCCAGGCCTGTACGATGACGGCTTCCAGGAGGAGGTCGCAATCTAAGTGCTTGAGCGCCCAACGTGGTTCAGGTGGTACCGGTCTGACCGGCGCGCCATCTGTAGGGGCGGAGACGTCAAACCGAATATATCGGTGATCCGAACCTGTCTCCTCCCCGACAACGACACGCCAGTCTTGGACACGACGCGCTAGCGAGGGGCATCGAACGAGTTTAGGAGGCCTAGGCCGAATCTTTCAACCCAGTTCTCCAATGCCCTGCCCCTCGGGTTCGTGCGCAGGGAACCCCAAGCCTGCGACCAGACGTTGAAGTCACCCAGCACAAGAGCCGGGTCGGGGCGACAGGCATCGACGACGACGGCCAGCTGAGCGAGCCATTGCTCGTACTCAGTACTCAGGGGGCGCTGATGACGGCCCAGCCACCCTAGCTGCTGGCTGGGCTGTTAGGCCCGCCCTGGCAGCGGCTGCATATGTCGCCCTTGGCTGAGCCGGAGGTGGGCGACAACGGGCGCTCTCTATTGCGGAGATGCGCTGGGCTCTCTCCCTAACGTGGGCCTTGCTCTCGGCCACGAGGAGCCTCGATTGTGGAGCGCACGACCGCTACCAGGGCCTCCTGTTGGGGGCCCCGGCCACCCCGGACGTCTGAAGTAAGCAATCGGCCGCGCCGATTGCCTCCTCAATCCGGTCGACGGGGTTGCCGGTTTTGCCTCTCAGCTCATCGAGGCCAGCACCCCCACCCTCGCTCCCCACACCGGTGGTCGACCTCTCGGACGCGACCCCAGTTACCCTCTTTTGGGCTACCCTGGCTTTGGGGAGTCGGCCTCCGCCGCGAGCGCCTCTGCGGCTTGTGCCGACTGGGAGCCGTGACTTCATCTCATCTCAGCTCGAGGCCGACTCCAATTGCTTCTTCAGGCCCAGGCGAAGCGAGCGCCTTTTACGCTTTGGAGTAGCCTTCTGGTGCTGCTCCGCAGCTGAGACCATAGGGGTACTCGCTCCGCTCATCTCCTAGGCAGTGTCGGTGTTCGACACTACCTCCAGGTTTTTCGCGTCCTCCGCGATAACGTCACCGGATTTACTGCTCGGCGACCGGCAGGTTCGACATTCGGTGCTCCCCCCAGAATACGACTGGGAGCTGCCGGAGCCGTTTGGCTCCGGGAGGGATTCAAAAGACACTGTGTGCCCGGTACCCTCCTGGGTAGATTTCTCTTTCTTTGGCCTCATGTCATATTATTAGTTTAACGTCCTTCGACGGGGACGCCTTCGGCACTGGACTCCCTCCAGCGACTCAACCCCTTGCCAGGCGTCAGAACGTGGGCTTAGAGCATTTTTTTATAGAGGTTTACGTCCTCGCGGATCCGAAGATCCACCGGTCCTGTCCATTCAGGATTACGGCTGGGCCGGACGAGCCTCGAAGAGCCGTCATTCCTGACTAAATAAAAAAACAGTGGCACTGCGGGAGTACCGACAGAAGTGAAAACTTGAAAACTTATGATTATAACAAGTTTATTTTTGTTTTTTTGCTATTCGATAAGTTCCGACACGAATATGTATAAACACAATATATGTACCAACTCAAATCTCATTTTAACTGAACCAATATATGTAGATAACAAAGGTGTAGGTAACGGTAGTTTTTTGCCCATAAAATACATTCGTTTGTTTGTTGTTCAATAATACCTAACGCGCCTATAGAAGTTTTCACTCCAAAAAAAAATTATATTACTGTGTCTCTGACCTGACTCGATATATTCATTGGCGCTCAATTGTGACGTTTCAGGAGTCGATGTCTTTCAGCTTGCTTGAAGAGCGCGGTACGTTTGTTGAGAGTGATTTCTTCCATTTTGCGCTTCAGGTGCGGGTAGGGCTGCAGGCACTGAGTGAACTCTTTGTAGCCCAACCTATATAATATTATAATAATATTCTACCACATTCACAAAACGCCATCTAGTCACAAACACAGCAGAGCTTGTAATATGGGTACTAGACAACTGATATAAATACATACACATTATATATAGAAACACTCAGACAAAACCACACGCACACAAATGTTTGAATTGAGCGGGAATAGAACCCTCGACCGTTGCACAAACAACTACGCCGTCTGTTCATGTCAGCCCTACCGCTCGGTGCGTACTAAATTCATTTTTGTCATTTATTATATTCGTACAACATTATGCCCTTTAAAAAAAAAACGTACAAATTCGAAACTTAAGTGTTAAGTTGTCGTGGGAGACCGGACTGACACCACGGCTTCACAGAAAACAGCTGTTAAGCAATTCTTTTTTTCACTGACTAAGTTAGGGTAACGGAGCCCAATCACTCTACTCTTCCTTCTGATTCAGGGAGAGAATGAGGGGAGGGGGATTCTACAGCTGGACATAGATCTCTTCTTACAAAAGAGGTTTTGTTCTACTATACCAAGCTGCCAGACGGGTTGGTATAAGGTTTGTGTCAAGTTTTCCTTCTCTTCGCAGTGCTGTCGTCCTGCGTTGTTTGCTCCCTTAGTTCTCACAACACCGTTGGGTGTTCCGTAGTCTTAATCCGGATCACACGGATACTACTGTGATCCTTGAATTGTAGGTGTCCATAACCGGTGGTAGTCACTTAGAATCGGGTGACATGTCTGCTCGTTGGCCTCCCATAAAATAAAAATAAAATATAGCGGCATTCCGGGAGTGCCGACAGAAGTGAAAACTTATATACAGAGGTAACGGTAACGGTAACCGTCAGTTCAATGCCCAACGTGCCTAAAGACGTTTTTACTTCAACAGAGGTGTCGGTAAAGGTAAGTGTCGCGAATTTAATGGTTTTTTCTTATTTCAAAATAATGATTCTTGATCAAAAATGCCCAAAGAAGTTTTCACTTCAAAAACATTAACGCGTTCTTTATTAAGTTAAACTGCTGTAAGCAGGTCGTAACTTACGTGTAGATCTCGGTGATCTCTAGCGCCACGATGGAGGCGGTGCGCAGCGCGCCGGGCCTGAGCAGCGCGCTCTCGCCGAAGAACGCGCCGTCGCGCAGGTGCGCCACCTCACCGACACAGGGGGGGACAGCGTTAAGCAAACCTTTCCTAACTTTTCCTCGAATGAGTGATTAAGGGTAACGAGAATCCCCGCATTTCTCGCTTATTCTGGGAGGGGGAGGGGGGAGTTGTATCCCTTGAGTTGTAGGTTTCTATCGGCGGCGTTAATCATCATCACATAACCTTTCTGCTTGTTTGCCCCTATCTCATAAACTATCGCTTTAAAGGATCTTTAGCACATAGATGCTATGTAATCGATAAGAGTTCAGTTGCAATATGGCAACTAGTGTCAACTGCGTGATGGATAAATCTCATGAGAACAAAATATATTAAGACGAACCTCTCTGCCAGCTGAAGTCATGACTGCCACAGTTCCTGACGATATCAAGTATATGGACGATCCAGGAATTCCGTGTTTCACTATTGTCTGAAAGAAGTCACAATAAATTTTAACTCGACGTAGCATCGTTGCAAATACGAGTCATTAAAGTACTAAACTAAGTAAATCTCAGTATTGTTGTAGATTTGTTCAATTTACAATTGACCGCACGGATGACGTAGTAGTTTAAGCGATCACCCTCCACTACTCAGGGCGGTATGAAGGGTTCGATACCCACACGGGACAACACTTTGTATGATCTACATGTATATTGTTGTGTGAGTCTGGGTGTTCTTTGTGTCCGTTTCATGTATGTTTGTAAAGTCCTCCGCGACACAGCAAAAATTCCTAGTGCGGGAGTTGTCTTTTTTAAAATAATAAAAATAATGGGCCCCTTTAGGTATTTACGAGAAGCAAAAAATGTACAACGTATGTACAGTGTAATGAACTGTACACTACTGTTAGTTTGAGTTGCAGATGTCTATGAATGGTGGTGGGCACTTACCAGGCAGGCAGGTGACCCATCTCTATAGGTGACTACTCATTTGCCTTTTATATGATAAGGAAAAAGAGCGAAATTTTTATTATTATAATAATAAATTGAAACAACTCACACACAGCAGTCTGGTCTAAATTAGGCAGAGCCTGTACTATGGTAACCAGACTGCTGATAAACGTACTTATATATTTCTAAATACATATATATTATAGATAGATTACACCCAGACACACAACAATATAATCTTGTTTATCACACAATATTTGTCCTGGGCGAAAATCGAACCCACGATTATTTCATTGGAAATCGTTTACACACCTCACCAGGCATAAACAGCACCCTTTCCAAATTGAACACAATGGAGTTGATCAGCGCCACGGGCATATCTTGAAACATGGGTACGTTCATGACCAGCCCCTTGCAGCAATGCAGGTTGATTTCATTCTTAACTTGTTCGTTAATCGTGTTCTGTAATTCTGCTTCGTTAAAGTAGTGTTCATGAAATCTATAGTTTATAAACAACTGGATCTTTCTTCGCAATTGAAACGGTAATCTCATAAAGGCCATGTTCTCCTCTAGTGCTTTGTACTTGCCTCTGAATAAATACGAATCATACTGCCTGTATATCGTCAGCCGTAGTAACGCACAGAATATATACGGCACGAATAGAAGACCAATCAAACCTATGCTAGACGACATCAGAAAGTCGACAACAAAATGTTGGTCTAACGGAGCGTAGTACAAAGCACCTATACACAACCCACAAACGAGATAAAGATTCTTCGTATACTTCTGAAAGCCAGTGGTAATATTCCCACCGGCATGCGTTTTTATACCAAATTCCTGCAGCCAGTTCGCGAAGTATTTATCATCTAAACTGTAGAAATGATAACACAAATTAGGTATTTGATGATGGATATACGTCATCCAATGAAAGAACATTATTGCTATGAGCATCACTTTTAAAGCCACATAATTGATATACGACAACTGAAATTGACCAACGACGTTCTTCCACGGATCGCTCAAAGAGAACACTCTTAACAGTTTGAAAACGAACATAGCCGTATGTGTTGGATATAAGCAGTTATCGAACGGTCTTATAAGTTGGAGCGGTAACGATCCGATCAGGTTGACAAAGAAATGGGTCTTGAGATAGTGGACGAGGATACGTTTCGGTTCCAATACTATGATCTCTTTATCGACGTAACCAGTGAAGAAACGTGAACAGAAGTTCAGAAATGCGATTGCGTCTGTGAAGAGGATAAATTTGTCGTAATAGTCTGGACCTGTAAAAGATTAAACAAAAGATAAATACAAATTTCTTGTATAGTGAAAAATATTAGGTCGTTTTCTTATGAAAGGACGCTTAGCTACAGTTCAATTCACGTCAAGTCATTAATTTTGTTAGAAGGCCAATCTAACGTTGATAGTATTCCGAGAGGGGTTTGAATTCGAATCCACTTGATCATCATCAGCCTATCGCAGTCCACTGCTGGACGTAGGACTCTCCCATTGCACGCCACTTAGATCGATTTTGGGCTTCTCGCATCCAGCTCCTGCCAGCCATCTTGCGCAAATTGTCACTCCACCTGGCCTGTGGGCGTTCCTACACTACGTGGCCGAGGCGCGGTCTCCACTCAAAAAAACTCGTTTTCCCCTTGATAGCAGAATTTTATTTACTACTGACTGACCCGCGCCCCTTTGCCGGCGTCTTTTAAAAGGAATAAACTACTCAAAGGCCTTCCTCGATAAATGGACTGTATAACACCAAAAGATACACGGAACAACACTTTGTGTGATCTACAAATTGTTGTTCTGAGTCTTTGTGTCCGTTTTCATGTATGTTTGTAAAGTCCCCCGCGACACATATATATATATTCCTAGTGTGGGCGTTGTTAGTTGTTTTTTTAATTACCCATTGTAAAATGTTTCAATTCGGACCAGTGGTTCCTGAGAATAGCGCGTTCAACCAAACAAGCTCGTCAGTATAGTATTATAAGTATAGATTGAATTTCACATGCTGAGGTAGCGGGGGCTTGGCAGAAATAATCCGTTTTTTTTTTTCATAAAATAGCGAAAAATGTGAATGTAAAGTAATTAATAGCAATAATAGTGTACTCACAAGTCACAAACACCTGGAACGGGAGGTATATGAAAGCGAAGAACATAAAGAACAGTTGTATACAATCCCAGTAGTATTTAATAGGGCTGTAGGGATGCCAAACGAGCCAACAGATCTGTAGGTGACGTTCGCGCTCCAGTCGCAGCCGCTTGAGACTTCGAATGAACAGTGCGGTCCCGTGGTGCCATTCACAGGGAAGGTTTAGCTCGCGGAATTTACTCACCTAGGAACAGTTACAGCTGGATATTATTAGAAGTGAAGAGTTTTATTATTGACGTTCTACCTCCATGATCAGACCTTCCTCCACAAATCGAATCACATGAGCCTCAACGTTTGGAGCTTTATAGTGGAAGTTTTCTGCGACTATACACATTTTTATTAGACAAATTTACAGTTAATATATAGACAACATGAAAAATATCATCATCATCTATTGATGATGAGGAGAGGACTATGTCCAGCAGTGCTATTGCCTTTACTAGCTCTCTGCCATATAGGCCTCTCCTTAGAAAGGTGGGTATAGAGTTTGTGTCCAGTTTTCCTTCTCTCTGCAGTGCTGTTGTCCTGCGTAGTTTGCTCCCTTAGTCGCTTCTTACGACACCCACGGGATGAATAGGGGTGGTGACACTGTATTCTTAATCTGTCACCACACGGACGATGAAAAATATAAACAATTAATATTAATAAATTATAATAACTTGACACGATTCATACACGGTAGTCTGATCACAAAATAGGTAGAGACAGTACTATGGTAACCAGACTGCTGATAAACATACTTATACTTTTCTAAATACATACGTATTATAGTTAAATATAAGAGGCTCGTAGCTAAGTGGTATACGAGTGGGTTAACACATTGCAAAGCTAAGTATTCCTAGCCAGGTCAGTCTATGAATGGGTAAGACTATACCTAACATATTAAGACCTCTCCGTGCTGGTCACAGTTGCCATACGCACATCTGTGGTAATCTTTTGCAACTCTAAATAGTTCAACAACAGTATTTCTACAGAACTTCCATATCGCCTAGTACTTGGGTTATGGAGGTCTGTAGCCAGTCGCCCAGTGTTGGCAGTTGTACCTTTTTTGACTTAGTTTTAGAAAACTCCATTATATAATATAAATACACACGGTCAAAGCAAATGATCGTGCTCATCACACGGTTATTTGGGTGAGAAGCGAATCCTCTGGCTGAGTCAATTATAAGTAAACCAAAATCAGCTTCCAAATATCATTAAATAATTAAAATGTCGAACCTGTCTTTGGAAGAAAGTGGCTGTTGGATGCACCATACCATGTCCCTCCGGCAACATACACACATGCTTGTCGCTACCACACATTGTCACTGCTATTTGTATTTCATCTATACTTAAAATCAAATTTAACTTATAAATAATGTATTCTACTATATCGATGTTCTTGACAGACAGTTTTCATTTCACCTTCCATTGACAAATTGACTGTCAAATTAATATTTTCTTAGATTTATTAAATAGCAAAAAGTATTGTATTATAGGTAGTGGTACATAGTGACAAAACAGATTGTTTTATATTGTGTGTGTTTATCCAAAGTCATAACTTTGAAGTCTAAGACGATTTCAAATTAGAAAAACAATAAAGATATTTTGAGTGAGACTCACTTATTCTATAAATTCGTGCATATGGTATAGAAGAACTTTTAATAATAAAATTGACCTAGTATGGACTGTGAGCTGCTAGTGCAGCACTTTATGACACCTTTTGCACACCATTGTCATGGTAGAATGTACTGAACCAGTATTGTAATTATTGACATCTGTTGTATGTACTACATTCTGCAAATAAATGAATTTGAATTTGAATTTGAGTTTAAGAGTTTGACTTTACAGACCAATTGCAAAATTTTTTTTATGTTAGAGGGGGCCGACGAGCAGACGGGTCACCTGATGGAAAGTGACCATCTCCGCATAGAGTGACATAATAGCTTAGTTTAATAACAAGTTAATTATATTGGAAAAAGCGAAAAATTCGACTGCGTGATATCGTGTGCTTTAATTCACAAACTTAATTAAATTTCATATCTAAGACTGCTCTGAAAATGGGTTGAATTTAAAAAGAAACTCATAAGTTAAATAATATAATAGGTATTTCGCCATTAGCCATTTTATTTAGTAAATACAAGTGATTCAAAACATTCTGTAATAGAATTTGTTTCTGAAGTAAAAGTTGTGTGTTACTCTTTCTTGTCCGTTCCCAAGATGATGCTAAAACAAGCAAACAGATATTGATTTAAACTGTGACAGATAAAAATGAATCCATGTAAAAATTGTTTCGACTGCACGGATGGCGTAGTGGTTTAAGCGGTCGCCACGCTGCTTCCTACTACGCCGAGTGTTGTGGGTTCAAACCCCACATGGGAAGACACTTTGTGTGATCCACAAATTTGTTGTGGGTCTGGATGTTATTTGTGTCCGTTTTATGTATGTTTGTAGAGTTGGGGGTCGTCTTTTTAAAAAAAAAGTGCAGACGAATTTAATTAAAATCTGGTATTATTCTAATATCTTATTATAATGTTACCAAATGCATAACTACTAAATTACCTGCCGTGTTTGATAAACAGACCAGTTTAATAAAAAAAAATATCGTCTGGAAATGCCAATCATTAGTAATTCTCTGTAGCTTGGGGTTCAGCAAATAAATTCCTGCCCTTTTTTTAAATAATTTGGTATATCTTTTGTTGTTACAGAAGAAAACGTTCACCGTAGTACATATGGGACGTGCGGCGGGTCTGACGCTGGACTGGTCGGCCGGGTTCTCTCTCAGCGAGGGTACTCCCGGAGCTAAGCCTGTGTGGGCATATAGGTGAGGGATCAATCATTTTATATGTTACTCAAGGTCCTAAGAGCCTACTGTGGTGGCAATTATGTATCTTCTCGGCCACGGCTAAGTATCGGCAAAAATATATTTTAATACTAGCCCGTACCCGCGACTTCGTTCGTGTGGAATTTAAAAAGCGCTGCCTTAGTGGTGTACGCGACTGCAGTTCACGAGGCCTCGGGTTCGATTCGGGCAAAATTTTATAGGGTTTTTCTAACAGGAAAATAGCCTAAGTTACTCCTTATTTACCTGGTAGTAAAATATTATTAAAATCGGTCCAGCCGGTAAACATACAGAGAGACAGACAAAAAATATTTAAAACAGACACAATTTTTATTTATTTGTATAGATTAATTATTCAGCCTGTAGTAGTTGAAGTTTGTGAACAAATACTTAGTTAATAAGTAATTTTCAAAAATAAGAATCTTAAAATTTGTCATTCAAATACTAATTGTACTATAGCAGCATAATTAAGTAAACTGTGTTTTTCTTTTTTTTTGTGTCCGTCAGTTATATACTAAAGAATATAATGGACATAACCCAAGGATTGCCTGCTTTTTTAATCGGGACTTTGATAAGGTTCATGTATTTATGTCTCAATGTGTACTGTGTGTGTAATCAATTTTTTTATCCGTAAAACTGAGGGCTTTTTAAAGTGTCGTTATCAAGGTATCACGTAATTTAAATCGACTTAGAAGAAACAGAGTTTTAGTAATAACACTAATAAAAAATACGTGTTTCTTTGTTTATAGGTTTTCTCAATTGAGGGGTTCGAGTGACGACGGTAAATCAAAATTAAAATTGCACTTTCAAGATGCGGAAACTAAAGTTATCGAAACTAAGGTACAGTATAATATGTTTGGGATTCTGTATATTTCTTATTAGCTGACCCGCGCAACTTCGTCTGCGTCTCTCAATAGTAATAAATTTTCTCCGTTTTTGAAACATTCTTCATTGGTGCTCCGCTCCTATTGGTCTTAGCGTGATGATGTATAGCCTATAGCCTTCCTCGATAAATGGGCTATGTAACACTGAAAGAATTTTTTAAATCGGACCAGTAGAGATGAGACCTGAGATTAGCGCGTTCAAACAAACAAACAAACTCTTCAGCTTTATAATATTAGTATAGATGAATCTATTTGTACTTGACGGCCTATTATATATGGGGATCGATTCTACGCATAGTGATATTTCTGACGAGCGTATCATTGATGTCAAACCTTTTGCCTAAAGGGTTATCACTTACTCTCTATTTTGTTCCCCGCTTTGCTAACTCCGTGTTGTCCGTGTGGTGACGGATTAAGAACAAAGAATGTTACCACCCCTATTCATCTCGCGGGTGTCGCAAGAGCCGACTAAGAGAGTAAACTACGCACTGTAAATGGAAAACTGGAGATTAATCACAAATAAACTGGAGGAGTTAGTAATCATCATCATCAACGGCCTTTAATACGCCACTACTGGACAGACTTATAGATAGGTTTTGGCCTACTATACCACGCTGGCCAGACGGCTTGGTATAAGGTTTGTTTCAAGTTTTCCTTCCCTTTGCAGTGTTATCCTGCGTAGTTTGCTCCCTTAGTTGGCTCTTACGACACCCACGGGCTGAATGGGGGTGGTGACACTCTGTATTCTCAATCCGTCACCATACGGATAAAAGTAAAGTGTGTAATGGGGTTTTTATGACTGTTCCAGGAGCTAGAATGTCAGATACTCCAGAGCCTACTGTTCTGCATGCACGCGTTCCTGACGGCGAAGGTTGCATCTGTGGACCCCGCCTTCCTCGCCTCCATACAACAGTCCAACTAGACACCCCGTACTTTATATTGTAAGGCCTGTTATTGTTTCATAGTCAAAGTTGTTCGATTCTGTGTACTAGTGTTAAAATTCAATTTTTTTGGTTGACTGTCGGTCAACGAAAGACTGATTTTTTTAAATAAGTTGTGCAATTGGACAACTTTAAAGAAATTGCTATCAATTTCTGTAAGTATTATTATTTACAGATCAGGTTGTAAAACTTATATAATTTATCCTAAATTAGGTCTGGATTATTGTTATTGGAAAGTCCGAGCTTAAAGAGTTGTAAGAATAGATGTCTTCGTTAGAACTTGAAGCCGAATGTGGCCTTGGATGGTCAGTTTATTCTGCGGCTACAAATTTGAACAAGAATGACTACGTTATCGTACTAAGTATGGCAAGGATGATCACACAATATTATAATTTGTAAGCCTTTTCAAACTAGTGTTATAAAGTACTTCGAAAACTAGCTGAATTGTAAGTACCAATTCTAAACTCCAAAAGAAAAAGTCCATTTTAAATAGAGGAAATGTTTACATAACAGATATGTTAGCAGAACACCTTTCACAAAGTATATGTATAAATATATTTATATATTTCTTTATTTTAAGGCCTAAAATTTAGAACCCGAACAGCGAATGTGGAAAGACTAAAAAAATCGTGCAATTGTTGCCTATTATAAATCTATTTTTGAATCTCACGTCTCTTCATATAAACATTATTTTCAACCTTCGTCTTCCTATTTATAGCCTCTAGAATCTTCCATTCATTATTTATTATTATAATATTCTAGTAATTTAATACTAAAACTTGTCTCACTTATCCTTTATTATTAAAAAAAAAGTGTCTGTCTCGGGACGCTTGACAGAAGTGATAATTTAAGCTAATCTAAGTTGAACTATTTAAAATTGAAACTGTTTAACTTGAGAATAGGTTATTACTTAAATTTTATGTAAAGCGTCTGTCCGAAATACGGCTAGCGTTGTGGGTTAGAGTGAGAGAGGCGGAGCCTGCCTACCGCTGCCGTTAGCGTGAGAGAAAGGTAAGCCAGACACACTGGAGCCGTAACGCGTTACGAAACGAAGCGGTTTACCCTCCCATAAGAAGTTAACATTTCAAAAAACTGTTTTTTATTATTTAGTAGTAATAAGGCGATTATCTTCTAATCACATTTAAATTATCTTTGAATACGAAGATGGTACACGCCTGTATAAGATAAACTTCTTCACTCTATATTTGAACATTCCAGGGTTATATTTATCTTGACCAATAGACACAATTCATTGTAAATTTTGGTGATTCAAAACCAAAAATCAAAAAGTCAAACCAATTAGTTCCACTTTTTGATGTATCGACAAAATAAACAAGAAGTAATCGAAAGATGATATCGTTAGGCATTTTTATCTATTAAATTATTAAAGATTTTTATCATATCTTGATCTGTTCGTTCAAAAATGATATCTCTCATTTCGATATCACTATCTAAATCTAAATTTCTCTCATAATATTGCGCTCTGTTGGCTAGATTAGCGTTCAATTAGAAAAATAACTGAAAAACAACTCACAATTGTTATCCTAACGATGGCAATAACCAATAATAAGTTTTTACAATTTATCGTAGAGAAGGATGTTAAAGTAACATCCCTAAGTATACATGAGTCGTAATCGTTTGATGTTAATAACATCGATTATTTAGATCAATGAACAACTCTAGTGCAATTTAAACATCCCAAACTTAGTAAACGCAAAAAGAATTACAATACTTGAGTAACGACGACAGCAAAACGACGTAACTGTTCAAAGAGATTGTTTTTTTAACTATGCGATCCCGGGATACTGTGGCATGTCCATATTTTTATAATGTTTGAAGATCAATTTTCATACTGAGTTCATAGATTTTTTTCTTCACGCTGCCTATCCAGCGTTTTTGTTGACCAAGTATTGCTATTCCTTCATTCAAACCATGTTTCAATAATTTCGAATAATTCTATCTTAATATGACAATCGACAAATAACTATTGTAATATTAGAGATTGCTTAAGTGGAATTGTAGTTGCGTGATGTTAAAATAATCTTAATATATACCATAAACTTCATGTAATAAATTCTTTGACAAAAATCATAAATAACAAATTCAAAATGCCATCTTAGCATTTTCTCTAGGTAAAAATATGTAATTTATTTAGACTACCTTACTGGCCATTATCTGTCTTTTCACCTCACTGAATACTGGAGGAGGGCACTCGAAGGCACTTGAGGCGTTTTGCAGATGTTCAAGAGCTGTGGTAGTTAGGTGACCCGTCTGCTAGTATACCCCTCATGACAAATAATATTAAATAAAATACATGGACGAATTCAGAGAATCATTTACTGGGCATGTGACCAGATCTAGGGGCGTATCCTATACTCAAATTTCTGGAATACAGTCTTAATTATGTTGCGGTTGCGTGTTAGATTATAACTAAAGCTACGCGCAATAAAGTTCAATATTGAGAAAAACATCGAACTATCCTGACATACATGATAATTGCCATGAGTAAAAATTTAATAGGACGATGTAGCAATCGACTTGAGTACTGTCAAAATGACAAGTAGATTATAAATGACGTAATAATGAACCTGTACAAGAATAAATAGTTATTATTAAAGCTAATATCTCATATCAAAGGCTCATCACACTCTATCATAGAGTTGATCGATATGTACAATGTACATAATCGAATTAGTATTTAATCGAATAACAATCTCGCATATTAATCGTCTAATTTTCGATTTGTAACTTTTGTACTCCATACACCAAAGATTTTTAATCGATATTGTTAGTGCTAGGCGTGTACGTGATATAATCTCGAAAGAGGCTATTCTAGGACTGAGGTATTAAGTGGAACTGGCACAGAATTTGTAAAATATCCGAACCTGATAAATGTCGACGTCAGAGGAAAAGCTCTAAAAATGAGTGCATATAAATATATCAATCGAGGTTTATTTATTTACGATTTATTTATTATATTTGTACAAATTCTTCTGCCCGTGGCTTCGTTGACGCAAAAGTTTATAATATTATCATAAAGACAGAAATTTAGCGTAAACATAGATACAAATAAAAATATTATATACAAGAACAACGGTTTTTTTTAAACCAACATTCTGAACCATAGATTGTATCAATAATTATAAATTCTGTGCCAAGAAAGTAGAGACTATAGAAGGATATTTTGAATTGTTTTAGACGAGTAAACTTTGCGCTTGCTTCATATCATTAATTTTAAGTAAACAAATTATATTATCACTCTAGTATGTTACTGAAATCATAGATTTTTCTATACAGTGTCACTGGGTTCTAGGCAGTTTAAAGTAGTCAATTTTTAACTTAATTTGTAAAAATAGATAATATCTAAACGAGTATTTATATAAACATTCGAACTTAAATTTAATGAGAATTTAGTGTCTATAATAAGTAATTAAGTCGCGTAACGCGAGTAATTTATATGTAAGTACATATATATATATCTCAACAAATTGTATTTATCTATCTGTATATTTATTGCATTCCACAATGTTCGCTTAGGTGGCAACTTAAATATGAGATCAGATCATCATGGAGCCTTTTGAGCACAGCAATAGATGAGAGAGGAAGAGATATACAAATGAACAATAATGCTTTAGTTATTTTATTGGTTGCGATTTTGTTCAACTACCGTCGTTTTTGTCACTTAAGTATTGATGCTGTAATATCATTTCTGTAGAAGTAATTGTTTAAATTTATTTATGAATATATTGAATTTGGTTTCATTTCAAATTCTTTCAGGTAATTTATTGATAGTTTTTTTGTTTATTCTCGTTTTTGTGAACAGAACATAACTTTACCTACGTCAGTTGACTGGCCTACATTTTGGTGTCAAGAATTTTCAAACTTGATTTAGAATATATTATAAATAACTACCAGTTTTTTGCTATGAGCTCTTTAACAATGGGAGTGCTATGCTTCGCCACAAATGGGCTAGGTTCTATCGGAGTTCTATCACAGAAAACCGGTGTTCGGCAATTATTTTGTTACTGTAGCCCTAAACGGCCCCCCTTCTAATTCAGTCACAGTAAAACAGTCCTTATGATCGATGATAAGTCGATCTAAGTGGCGTGCAATGGGAGAGATGGGCTGATGATGAAAGGTAGTCCGAACTTGAAAGACTTGCATCTTAATTTTCGAAATAAGTTTTCGCTGATCTTTTAATACGTATTTATTACAAACATTAAGAAAAAAACGTCAGGATCGTTAACAAACCATATGAACTTTTCATTGTAAAATTTCAAGCTAACTTTTATTGCAAAAATAATTTCTAATGGAAACTGAAAACAAGGCCGGAAAAGGATCAAAATGAAGAAAGTAGGTTAACAACAATAGCTGATGTTTTAAAATGACTCGTCTCATAACAATAGATACCAAGTTTTTTAGTGTCCTAAAACAAAAAAAGAGCTGCACCAAAATAATGTACGTCTGTGCCCACCCAGCGCCATCTAGGAAAAAAAATTAATCCTGCATCGCGCTATGAATGTTTACATAAAATTTTGGGAATCTTTTTATCTCACAACAAGAATTTTCTTCTACAACATAAACATATTTCAATTAAAAGTATCAATTAATAAGTAATAAAGATATATTGTAATCACCTGTCCATTAAATACATCCTTAACCAGCCTTCAACCAGTGGCACTATATAATTTGTTGATAAATGTTTTATATTTTATCTAAATAGCCATGTATCTGCCTTGAGTATGTACATTATATAGAAATATAATTTATATATAAGTAGATATGTTATGTAGCTCTATTTGATTCATATCATATTGTCATTTATATTTTGACATTAATTTGTGCATAAATCGTTTCATTAAGCGTAGTTATTTAGAATGCTAAAGTTATCATGTGTTAATGTATTGTATTTCATAAAACAAGATTGTTCATTATTGAACGTATATCGTTTATTATTGTTTGCTGATTGCAAATCGCAAGT